TGTGTGTGTGTGTGTGTGTGTGTGTGTGTGTGTGTGTGTGTGTGTGTGTGTGTGTGTGTGTGTGTGTGAGTGCGTGCGTGCGCGCGCGCGCGCATTTCTGTATTTGTGGTTGATTTAAGAGCAAGAGTTTACAGTGGCCCAGGACATGAGATGAATTTCAACACAGCCTGTGCCTGTGTCCACAACTCTCCCAGCCTTAAAGCTTACAGCACAGACACTCACACACAGCAGTCGATATCACCATGTGCTGTCATTGTCTGGTCAATATGGTGTTGGTTTAAATCGATGAACTCTTGTACTGAGCTCATATAGAGCCACAGCAGTTGATAATCTTTCCACCCAGACTCTTGGACAGCTGGGATGTCTGGATATTCTTATGCCGCAGACAATCTCAGGTCAAAAGAAGGCGACGCATTAGTTTCTAATGAGTCAGGAGCCAGGCTTAATCAGTCATGATTCATTTTATTGCCTCGTTATTTTTGGAACAAAGATCCCTGAATGACTTTGACTTCAATTTTTCTTAAAGATGTAACATTTGCATTTTAGAGGAATTCATGGTAAATATCAGAATTTTCAGAAAAGATAAATGGCATTTACTGTATTGTAATGCAACCCCTCAGGTCTATGTCTGTCGTTACCTATGGTGCTGTCTTGACTAAATTGCACACCAAAGAAATCTCCGGGGACGATGTGTGCCAGTAAGTTTCCCTCAGAGGTAGATTCAGCCGCATCAGTGTGGCCTGTGAGGATCCTGTCCTCCTACGCTTTCTCCTCCTGCGCCGCACTCCCACCTTCCCTCCATCTCTCTGCTCTTTGCGTCATCCTCCTGGGATTACAGCTCATAGCCGTCAACTGCCTCGGAAAACGGGCTACACTGACTCTTCTCTCCTCCACTGTTTTATTGGGTCATTACCACTGTGTTCCTGTCATCAATTTTCGTCTGCTCACAACGTGACATTTGGATTTCATTGGGAGGTTGTCCTGCAGTGGGTCGCGTTATAGCAATAATACCCGAGAGGGCGTTCTCTGCTGTGATTACCAGGACAGTAATGATTCACTGGGTTGGAGATGAGCGCTGTTGATCATCCCAAAGCCACTTTAATCACAGTTACCAAATTAAGTTTTTAACAACAAAAACCAATGTACGTTTTGGGTGGAAAGCACAGTATTGACTGATTTATACCACAGTTTAAGAATACTGGCAATTAATGCATTACATTTTTAACCTAAGGGCTGAAATACGTTGATTCAACACAAAATGATTGACTGATATTTGATTTATTGTAGGGAATTATTTGGCATTTTAAAAAACGTTTTCTGATATTTTCAGACTAATTAGTTGAACAATCAAGACGAAGCAGGTTAATCAATAATGAAAATACCCATTACTTTCAGCCCTAAAGCACTTCTACAGTACATGCTGATGCAAATGCGAAAAAAAACAAGCTCTCTGTTTGAACCCTCACTGGATCAACAGAGTAGTTCCATGCGGATGAACAAGAGAGCTGCGTTAAATGTTCTAAATATGTTTTGATCTTTTGGCTTCATGAGTTTTGGTTTTTAAAGGGAGAGGGATTAGTCAGTAATGAATAAGTTATGCTTGAGCACAGAGATTAGAAATTGTACTATTGGGGTTAGAATAAGGACTTTTTCAGCTATCTTTTTCTGGAATGAAAAGTTATACCCACTAATTCCACAAACGGCAGGCTGTATCTGTGGAAAGCACATCTCACAAACTTATCGGCTTCACACATGGCATGTTTATAGTAAATTGTCCAGTTTGCTGCAATTTTGACACGCTATACTTTCAGTAATAATATAAAATTGAATAAACGGTCACCAGAGCTCTGAAGCAGCCAGTGGGGGCAGGGCAGTATGTGGACTGAGTTGAAAATGTATCCTACATCCTTGGATAAAATACAGCACTGGTTTGTAGCTGGGTCAAACCATGGGTCAAAATCGTCAACAGATCATTTTGATAATTTTCTAATTCACCATATCAGCCTGAGACACAGACATTCACATGTCATGGCAACAACATTCACGGAATCATTTCCTCTTTGTCAAGTTGTTTTCAAATTAAAGTTATACTATGTTGTTGCAGCAATGCTTCGCATCGAGCTCAATTGCAGATATTTTATTTTGAAAAGTTCTGAACTTGGGTTTGAAGATGGGTTGTTTAACAGACCTCTGAAATAGCCGACATGCAATGGATGAAGTAAATCGTTCAGTCTTGCATATAAGCCACACGTGAACAGTAATACAGCAAATTTAGTTTGAATTGATGAAAAAATTATAACAAAATCTACACTGCAGATAAACCAGGTAGGATGAACACAAAGTTTTTACTCTGCACCGAAGACTGTGTAAAAAAACTCTTCACACAACTTCCAGCATACAAACAATAAAAAAGTGATAGAATATTGTAGAACTGTTCGAGGAATGACAAGGACTTAAGTTGATACACTTAACCTCATCTGTTTCATGGAATGTCTGAACACTGTGCTGGTGGGGGGGGTACAAAAAAAAGGTATTTGAGATAATATGTGGATGAAAAAAAAAAAAAAAAGGTCCTTTGAATGGCTGGTGTGAGGAGGGTAGAGTCTTCAGAGAGCAGAACCACCACAGGACGGCAGGGCAGCCAGTGTTGGTGTTTGACTGTTGACTCACACAGGAATGTAATGTGCCAGAATCTCCATGTGTTCACACTGAAGTGAAATCCTGCCTTGCAAAGCTCCATCAGCATGACTTATTTGATCTACAGAGTACTACACACACAATTAATTATTTTTTTCTCTCTCCCCCCCTACCCTATTCTCTCATTCTTGTCCCATGTCAATCTTTCTGCTAAATTTCTTTTTTTTAACATTTTCGCTCCACATCTCTTTTTTTTCACAGTCTTGTCTAATCTCTCATTATTCCCCACATTCCTCTCTCTCCGCTTTTATCCCTCGTCATCCTCCCTCTTGCTTCTATATGTGATTTGTTTTACCTCATTCGTCTCTCTCCCTCCTGATCTACCTCTTCACACTCACTCCCCCTCCCTCTCTGCTTCTCTGGCAGGCTGCTCATTGCAGTGAGTCAGTATCATGGAGGCAGGCAGCGGGGCTGCCGCAGCTGTGGGGAGTGCAGCACTAGGACTGCTGGGAGCCACAACCACGTCCAGCCATGACATCTTGGACAGGTAAGCCCCGTGCACACCCTGAGGAATGGACTGCCCCAAATGTTTTACGATCAGAGTGAGGAGGGGAGTAGTGTGTGTATGTTTAGAAAGACAGACCACACCTTAGGTTGTGGTTTGATAAGGCGATTAGTTTTTAGTTATAGTAAGGGCATGGAGAGTATATGAGTGTGTGTGAGTTTTTGTGTGCGTTTGCAGTACCACACAGAAAGCCAGCCTTCTCATGCTTTCTTTGCATGTGTGTGTCTTCCTCCCTTTCAATACACTCACTGTATGTGAAGTCTCTGCTCCAGTCTTGACAGTTGAAGAATCTGGTTTGGGGTTGCCTCCGTGTCAGTGTAGAGTGTGCGTGTTTATGTGTATTTGTGCATGTGCCTGAAGTGTGTGTAGATGATAGAAAGTGTGGGGGGGTGTTACTTGGCTCCCTCCATGCCTCAAGGAGAAATGACACCAGGGAATGCGCATGCAGAGGAGGAGGGGGAGGCATCGGTAGACGTGCCTGAGCTATAGCTGAGCCGATAGGGTGAGTTTGCACAGTCACCACCCCACCCCCTACTTAACCCCCACCCACACCCCATCAACCCATAGCAACTAGGTAACTGCCATCACTGGCTGTCACTGCTGGAAACCCCTCATTCAGATTTCCTTTGCCCACGGAGCCCAGCACCTCCCAGCTCCAGCGACCACTACCTTCACAGCGGGGCCAAGTGTATAAGCTTTCAGCCAGTTACGTCATTGCTACAGCTGTACACCCACATGCCCAAGCACTGTGAGACACACACACATACACACACACCCTTGAACATATGCCTTCACAGAAACACGTGCACTAAGGTGTATCTAGTACACATGTATGGTTCACAGGGATGTTTTAGGGAAAACATCACTGTCACGTGCAGACGAGAAACGCACACACAACAAACACTTCATCTTCGTAGTTAGGTGCTTCACCACATTTTCACCTGTGCACGTCAAGCTCTGTCATCAGCTAGTAGGTACTGTTGGGATATCACTCATCTCTTCTATATTTCAGTTGCTACTCTGCCGATGATGTCTAACTCACACATCCCAGGGATCTCCTTTGACACATTACAGTACAATCAGGGATGGAAATGAAGGCTGTGACTCATTTACTCGTCATTTCCTTACTATATTTGTGAGTCACCACTCATGCTCTCACTGGCGAGGACACATTTTCACCAGCCTTCTCTGAAATACGCCGAAAGATCCATGTGCATCTACACCTGTTCACACGCCATCCAAGCAGGTAGCCAATGACTTGATTCCCCTACATAACTGCTTCGGCAGCATGATGTTGCTTTTTTCCCCACTGCTGGATTAGTGGTGTGTGTGTGTGAGGGGCAGAACACGTGTACAGCTGTCTGTTTTGGCGAATGTGTCCAGCTGTGCATTATCTTTTTTTGGAGGGTAAGGGGGGGATTATATTTAAGGCTGCTCAGCCCCTCCACCTCCTCCCTCACACACCGCCCCTCCAGTCCTGAACTGGGTCTAAATCCTGCACCGGGGTTACCATGGCAGCAGCAGCTTAGCATACATTAGACAGCAGTCCAACATTATTGAAAATGAGTGAGTGAAAAGAAGAGAAAGGAGTAAAACAGACAATAAAAAAGGAAGATAAAGAAGAGAAGGAGAATGTCTCCCTTCTGCTAAATTCCATATTGATGATATCATGTTCAGTAAATACACACAGGGATGTGTGTGTTCTCAGTCTGTTGTCCATCGCATTAGAGTATTTCTTTAATCAGAGAGGACATAGACGTTGGCGATTGGACAGGACTAATCAATTATAAGTTGTCCTGTGAATTGTGGTGGACAGAAGTGGATCTGCAGCCAGGACTGAGGAGAGCAGAGAGGGGACATGGGCCCCCAGGAAGGGACACAGACAGAATGAAAACGCTGTAAAAGAGGATAGTTTGTGTTTCACTAATTCTGTAAGACAGATGAGTAGACAACAGTGTCCTCTTAAGGAGGAGGCCCACGCCAGCATATAAGCTCCCATGAATATAGAACTAAGTAGATCACAGAGCTCCTAATTTCAGGTTTGCGCAGGCTGCTTGGGTTGTAGCATTCACTTACCTACACAGGCAGCTGATTTACTGTTGGTAATTTGTTGGTTAAATATCTACAGTGGCAATGATGTTTCTTTCTTTTGAGGTTAGCCCCTCAGGAATATAAGATAAATTATGTTGTCACTTTACATTGGTCTGCTCATCAAGCTTCATCAATCCATTATGATTTCTGTTTAATTCTTCTTTGATCACTACATTTACAAACAACGATCAATTAAGTCGTTATTGCTAGTGCCAATGAGCCTGTGGAGAGTTGTGAAATATTTTCTGTGGCTCTGAGTGTGAAATTATGCCTGAAGCCGTTTGCAGACATGACCTCCGGAGAATTGGCTACTGACGTCACCTGCAGTTTGCCTTTCATCCATGCGCAACACAGCAGGAGGTTCTCTGCACAGACACGTTCACAACAGCATCGATTCCTCCGCGTTATTTAGGCAAGAGGTGCAGCTGCCGGTTTGCAGCAGACAAAGGCAGGACGTGATGTATTAACTTCACTGCGGAGATCACGTGATCATGTTTACTGCACCTCGACACTGTTGTCGGCTCCTAATCACCACACACTCTTTTGTCAGTGTCCTCTACGTTTATGACACCACTTTTTCACCCGATGATATTTGTTTTCTTGTGTTTTTTTTTTCATTTTTGCATCTGTCGCATGTTAGTAGAGTCATCAAACCCCCCCCCCACTCGCTTATGGTGAATCCCACAGTGTATCCCCTGCTGTGTTCACACATCTACCTTTTCTGGATCTCTACGGACTTTATACTAGGAGGCCAGGTGTGAGCCTCTCACTCGGACATTGGCGTTCACACATGCACTGAGGATCTGCGGAGTTCAGTGCATGTCTGAAAGCAGCTGTAGTGACGTCATCGGGTTTGCGTTAAAAACAAGGGAGAGTTTGAAAGATGACGGTGTTTATCAGGCAGGAACTATTAGAGCCCGATTCATATTCCATCTGTGATGCTTTTATATTTAACATAATTCTATCTCTTGCAAGTCCCTTGACGGCTTTGCAATACCAAATCACTGGAGAACTGATTCGCACTGAATCACTTGATGGATTAAAAGTCGACACAAGATCCACACAGAGAAATGTAATTTAATTTGGGGTGATGACAGTTGCTTGTGTCTCACTTGCTGTGGAGGTGTAAAATTCTCTCTGTAGTACTGTTGTTGTTCAGTGTCACTCTGAGCATTTTAAGTATAACTAATGGATAATTTATAGATGATAAATCATTTCATCGAATGAGTTGCCACACAGTGCATTCTCAGAACCTGCAATGAGTTCATAAAATGTATGTGGCCTCTTACAGTGGATGTTTCTTCAGACCAGGGCTGCAAATCTTCTATCCAGATAATCATGCATAAGTATTGTTTCCTGTTAATCAGATCTTTTCTTGACCGAGTAAATTAGGTCCATGTCATTGCAGTTGAAAGTTGCAACAGCAGCAGTTGTCTCCTTCCATCTTGATGATTTGCCTCAGCGCCTTTTTGGCTCCCTTGTTGTATACATTATGTAGGTGGCAAAAGAGGTTAGTGGTTTTCGGAGTCTGTTGTGGGGCATAATTAACGAAGTATGTAAGTATATTTTTGGTCCGTTTCAGACTTGTCATACCCAAACCGCGTCCATGCGACAGAAGTATTCCCTCTAAAATGCTCCTTGTTTTATTTTGCCTTTTCAGTTTGTCTCCTGTTCAGAATTCCAAAGTTCTGTATCAAATTCACTCTCCTCCATGTTTGTTCGTGTTGCCATCATGTTCTCTTGTCTGCATCTGGGTGCATGACCACAAAGCATCGTCTCAATGATGAAAAATAGAGAGAGAGAGGGATTTGATGGGTAATAACATATATGTAATGACAGACATGTTAAAACAGAACACATACATAACATTTGTATACATCCTGTTGAACTGGTGAAAATGTATGACTACCATCATATAGTATGTGTTTTTTATAGTGATCTGTTAAATATATATATTATACACCATGATAATAAGGAAGGAAACACGTTCAGCTTTAATGTTCATTGTAAATTGTTTGCAAGAAAGCTCCAGGGCATCTTTTAATTGGAATGTCGAGATATACATTAGTTTTGTTCGGGAGTGGTGGCAAAGTGTGTAAAGCTGCTGTTCCACTTTTCCCCTGCATTCTTCATAAAGCTGAGATAACACATTCTACCCAGAGTCAATCATTTTCAATTGCTTGCAAGTTTTGTCCCAATTTCTAACTGCCATAATTTCATTCAGTGTAAAATATGAAGCTGCATTTCTGTGTCCCTGCTTCTTTTTAAGTTCTTATCATATAGGGTAATGACCGAAAAGGCAGACGGAGGCGACTGTTGCAGGGGTTTGAGGAAACATTTCCACGAGGCCTGTTTGTGGGTTTGGCTGCTTATGCTGCAGTTTGGAAGTGCCGACTTTAGCTTTCTGTCTACTGGGATGGGGGGATGGTAACAATACCTTTTTTTAAATGTTGAAAAAGGGAAACTGTTTGATTTGTTTCCTGTCTTCATCAGAACAGACTGCATGCATATTTTTGCTACAGATCTCTCTGCTGTCTCCACTTTTAAATTAAATACATTTAAAATAAAAAAAAATCAACATCAGTCTACACAACTCAGTTTTCGATAGATGGACTCCAGTCAAGTTGTTAATACATCTCAAAGATAAAATAGCAAAGAGGATGCAACTGACTACAATTTGGGGAGCCACAGTCTGAGTCCACAGAGTCTGAATGTTTTTGTAAATTATTTCATTTTCTTATTTTTAGTAAACTAGCACAGTGCACATAATAAACCTGTCTGCTTGTAATGGGCTGTTTGCTTGGCTTGGCCTGTGGTAATGTTGGTTGCAGCTTTATATCTGAAACTGTAAAAGTGTCACCTGCAGTAATTGACGTCCACAGAACCCTGAA